AACTGCGGCCCGGACTGGATGTCTGAACCGGCAGCCCGGACCTATTTTTCGTCTCGGTTCTCCCAATCTCTAAGTATCTAAATCTTGTTCTCGATATCCCTCAAAATAACTCTCAGTCTTCCGCTCTCGTCTCGGACCTCATGCTCACCCTCTATCCCTAAGACTCCAGTGTCTAGGTAGAGTTCCCCTTCCTGTCCTTCTATACAGGCTGCACCTCTCCTGATCTCTACGACTCCTGTCTCAGGGCTCCTCACTCTCCTACAAATCGCACTCCCTAACGCACGTATCTCCTCACGAGTCCAAGTACTCAAGAACTGACGCAGATCACCTCCTCTTGCCATTAGAGTCTCGATGTCGTAGAACAAGTCCTCCAGTTCTCCTTTCCCATTACCTGATAAGGCATTGGGGGCTTAGGAAGTCCCTCGTAGACTGTTATCCAGGTGCCCCAGACAACATTCTTCCTTAGCGATAGCAATCTATCCCTCTCTTCCTCTACCAGTTCTTTCGCTCTCTCCCAGCACCGACCGTAAAGAAGGTCGATCCTCCTCTCTATCGGCAGGTAAATCCATATGTCATATATGTTAATATCGATGAACCTGACGGTCATCACATAGAGACGAATTTCCTCCCATCCGCTATCCACCAGTTCGTATGCCTCAACCTCATACGGGACTCTCTCTCATCTCCCTACAAAACGTAAGGAAGTGCAGACAACTTTTAACTTTGCTTCCAGCGGCCTATTCCCAGCAAGATTTTTTTCCCTCTTGGCTTCTAACTCCTCGTTTGAAATCGCTTTCTTCTCATTCATTTCCCATTTGATTCCCAACCACCTTCCTATGACAATCACCTACTCTGATTGTTCTAACGAAATTTACAATCGCCTCTCATCCATTTCGCTCAAGTCCCTCATCTGGGATCGGTGGTCTAGGCAGGACGTCAAAAATCATGATATCGTTGCTCACCTCGACGATCTCCTAATTTCTCTAATCTTTTCTTCTCTTTCCTCAACTTCCAGACTGCTATTCTCCAACACCTCGAGTAAGTGCAGAACTTCGCTCTCTCTCTCGGGAGGTATATCCCAATGTGGTATACGCCCGAATCGATGTAGCGCACTGTCATAACATAAAACTGGTTCCTTTTCCAACCGTTGTCCGACACCTGATACCTAACCACTTGATACGGGAAGATCTCTTTCTTCCCAATCTCGCTCAGGCTCCTCTCAACTTTCTCTCTCGCGTGGTCCGTTCCATCTCCCGAACTTACGCCTCCTTCGCGCTAATTCTTCTTCAGGTAGGCTCATCTCTTGTTCAATTTTCGTAGGCCACCTAGCATTCGAAAGCAGTTAAGGCAAACGATACTAATATCCTCTCTGTGGACGCCTCTAGGACAAGATAGAAAGCTTCGAAGTCGTCGTTATCTCCGAGGTCCTCTATGTCCTCCAAGGTCTTTATCATTTCTTTCTAGTATAAGTTGTACACCGCGAGTGTCTTGAAAACCGCTCCGTCTACTATAACTCTAGCCAATTCACCCGCATCCTTAACTTCTTTCTTTAGAAGCCTCTGGGTCACTCTCAGGGATTCATGCCAAAAGCGAACGGAAACTCCTCCTTCGAATAACGTCGTACTCAATATATATCTCATAAGACACCCGTTTTCGATTCCTGCCCAAAGTGCGGTCCCTCGCACTTCTCTCAGCGCTCTCCGCATGCACTCTGCCTCCTCGATCACTCCCAGTTTTACTAGGTGACTCACCTGTATTACCACACAGACCACCGGCCCATCTATCTTCCCTACCACGTATACGGAGTACTTATCGTCACTATACTGACAAGTACTCATCGTCCTTCATCTTGTTGTTGTCTCTTCACTGTCTTTCTCTCCTTTGCCGTTCTTCTTGTCTTTACTGTCCTTTCCTTCTTCCTGCTTCACCGATCTAGAGGATTCCCCTTGTTCTGACTGTTGGTGGTCTCTCGTTTTCGTACTCTCTAGAAACTCGAACCTCCACCTTCTGAAGAGCTCCCTATCTTCCCTAAAGATTCTTTCTAGTTCCTTCGTACTCCTTTCTATTCTACGCAATTTACCTTCGCTCTCGCAGACTCTATACGTTTTGATTCTTTTTGCCAACTCCTTGACCCTTTTTAACACAGGTTCTATAATTCTTTCTTTCACTCTTTTCACTCTCTCATCTTCCATCCTCAATCTCTCATCTTCACTCAGCTTCGCAGGTCTCCTCACCTATGTGTCCGAAATCGGATTCAACGGGGGTTTTGAGTTGAACGGTTCAACTCCCGTTCAACTCCCATTCAACTCCCGTTGCAACTCCGCGTTAAACCAAGTTGAACGTGGTACAACTCGGCCCGCGGATTTTTTTTTTGCAGGCAAAACGTAAGTGAAAAAAAAATAAACAAATATGGGGGTGTAGATTTTTTTGCTCTCTACATCCCCATATTTTTAATTTTATTTTTTGAGCATGAAAATTATTTAAAAAAAATCAAAAACAAAACCAGACTCAAAACAGATAGATTTTTTTTTTTTTTTTTTTTGATTGATTGATTGATTGATTGATTGATTGATTGATTTAATTGATTGATTGGTGGGGGATGGGTCGCCCCTCCAACCCCCACCCCCACCCAATCAAGCACCCACACACACACACATACACACAC